GTGCGTGTGTGTACAGGTGTCTCTCTTTGTGTGTGTTTGTTGGTGGCGAGTAACTCTCAAGGCCTGGCTAGTAGCTCAGGACTTGTCTTACTGTACATAGTGCTGTGAATTTACGTAGCACTTTACATATGTATTACACATTCACATCAGTCCCTGCTCTTGAGGGTTGTACAATCTGAGGTCCCTAACTCACATTTATACACATACTTGGGCTAATTTAGGCAGGAGCCAGTTAACCTACCAGCATGTCTATGCAGTGTGGGAGGAAACTGGAGTACCCAGAGGCACAAGGAGAACATGCAAACTCCAGCCAGGTAGCATCGATTGGGATTGGAACTGATGACCCTAAGTCTAGGTTCACGCCTATGCAGGTTGCGTTTGATGCGTTTCTGCACTTGCATTTTTGCTGCGTTTGTGATGCGTTTTGTTCATTTTTTTAAATTTTTTTTTGTTGCTAAGCAGATTTTAAACACAAAACACATAAAAAAGTGGAAAAAACGCAATACATGCTTTTCTGCAGCGTTTCCATTGACATCTATAGAACCATAAATGCAACATTTGTGTCCCTGATCCTTTCCAAAAAATGCACCGGGTGAAAACGCGGAGATGTGAACGTGTCCCATAGGAAATCATGTTAAATGGACTGTACTGCGTTTCTGCAAAACACTGCGGAAAAATGCTTGGGTGTGAACCTAGGGTAAGTCTGTATGTTATAAAGTCGTCATATACACGTATCTCTACGATTAAGTATATGAAGGTCCATCAGTGCTAGAGCATATTCCTGTGTACTATGCACAGTCCAACTTCACTACTTAAGCTGTCTAGGTTTACTATACACTTTCATTACAAACTGTTGATGCTATATATGTCCTATATAATAATGGGCAGCACAGTGGCTAAATGGTTAGCACTTCCACCTGGCAGTACTAGGGTCGTTGGTTTGCATCCCAACCATCGCATCAGCTGCCTGGAGTTTGCATGTTCTCCCTGTGCCTGTATGGATTTCCTCTGGGTACTCCGGTTTCCTCTCACACCCCAAAGACATGCTGGTAGGTGAATTGGCTGCTGTCTGAATTGACCCTAGTATGTGTATGTATGAATGTGAGTTATGCAGGCCTTAGACAGGTCAAAAATCGGCCAATTTTCGCACCGTTAATGGGTTAATTGGTTGGCCGTTTTTCGGGGTTTTGGCACATTTTTTTTTTTTTTTATCCGTGAAGTTGGAAAAAAATCGGCCGATTTTTCCCGGCAATGATGGGCATTTTTTTTTTTTTTTTTAAATGGCCGTTTTCAACCCGTCTATGGCCTGCATTAGCGACCTTAGATTATACACACCTTGAGGGTTAGGGACTGATGTGAATGTACAATATATATGTAAAGCGCTGCATACATTGACAGCACTATATATAAGTACCTGAAATTATTAATAATAATAATAATATTAAATTACAGCCTTGTAATCTCTAATATATGAATACTTGTACTTAAATGCTTAATGTTAAAGTCTGATTTAAGTGATTTGGTGTACATCTGGCTAAAATATTTGTTTCAAAAGCTGCAATTTCTATCCCTCTTTTATTAGAAATATTACTCATGTACAACCACTGAATAGAGTGGCTAAACCGAATATACATTTTCTAGGTAAGGACAATGATGTGCTATTACACGCCGCTCCACTAGGGGCTCTAATCGCTTAATGGACCAACTAGAACAACTTTATTTGAGCGTACCCCTTTAAAAAAAAAAAAAAAAAAAAAAAAAAAAAGTATCTTTTGATTGATTGGTAGCTCAGCCTATAGAAAGCTGAACGGAGGCATATGCCAACAAATCAACATTTACGCTGAGCCCATGCTGTTCGCGGATTGGCTATGGTCATGTCATATAAAATAGCTCTTCCCGGCGCGCGGCCTCTTTTACCTTCCGGAGCCCTTGTGTGAGGTATGTGTAGCGTGGTACGTGTAGCTGGTGGGTACCGCGTTCCTGGTCACCTCTGGGTCGATAGGTGTGACCTAGATATGGCCCATATCGAAGTTCTGTCCGTAACGTGGGCTCTACTCATGCCCGGGTTCCCCGTGGGCCCCATGATGCGTGCACGTGACAGCAAGCGGGTGACCCCAATATGGAGAAGTTGTGTGTCATTAGATGCGTTGTGTGATGAGGACATTTTAGAAACACAGGAAACGGCCCCTTGCCAGTGATCAGTGTAGAATGGGGCGGGCCACCAGTGTTTGCTGGTTATAATGTAATGTCTGGGGACTTACAAAGGTGGCCTATGGTTTTGTGGTTGACCTATGTATGAGCCAATGGAAGACCAGAATTCCATCCTTGGTTAGCAAACAATGTAACATCTGATGCACCAATTGAAAATGGGATCTGTCAGAGCTGTCAATGAAAACAGGTCATGTCATCTGTGTAATAAGACATGCACAGATATTTGGATCAAAAACAATCAATAAAACTCCACCATGGCTGATCAGCTAGCCAACCTTGATAAAATTGATTGTCCATCATAATGCTGCTGCCAATCCCTTCATTGTCTTCCGCTCACCCAGCGAATGAAATTAAACTTACAAATCAATCCACAACTCAGCCCCCCCTGCTACATCACTAACCTGGTCTATAAATACTGACCTAATCATGTTCTTCTTTCCAACACCACCTGCTCTCTAACTCCCTCATCATCACCTGCCATGCTTGCCTCCAGGACTTTTCCTGAGCCTCTCCTATACTATGGAACTCCCTACCCCAATCTGTCTATCTCCTGTTTGCTTTTAGACGATCCCTGAAAAACCTCCTCTTCAGAGAGGCCTATTCTGCCCCACCTAACAACTTTACTTTTATTTTCTCTATCAGCTCACCCCCCCCACAGCTATTAGCTTTTGTATAACGCAACCCGTCCTCCTAGATTGTAAGATCTAATGAGGATCTAATGAGCAGGGCCCTCTGATTCCTCTTGTATTGAACTGTAATGCAGGCCACAGGCGGTTCTTTATAGGCCGATTTATTTTGTCCAAAAAACAAAACATTGTTCGTTCTGTAAACTGATGTTGCCACCAATGATTTCAAAAATCGGCTGTTTTTCACGAATTTTCCAGTATGACCGATTATTCTTTAGGACGAAAAATCAGCCGATAAACAAACCGTCTATGGCCTGCATAACTGTACTGTCTGCCTTCATGGTATAAAACGCTGTGCAAACTGTTGGCACTATATAAATCCTGTATAACCGCTTCAGCTCTGGAAGTTTTTTACTCCGCTCATGACCAGGGAATTTATTTTTCTTTTCTGCACTGGGGAAAGGGCAGAGCAAAAGATGGTGGAAGGAGAGATGGGGGTTTTTGTGTGTCCCAAAGGCTCATTAACCATTTTGCCTCCCTCTTCTCTGACTGGTTCTCCCAAGAGATCCACTTTCTGCTCTGTAGACATAGAACAAATATTCTCGAAGCAAGGAAAGTCCACTTTTAAATAGTATTCTCTGTTCCTGTTCTGGTGAAAAATCAGAATTTTACATTTCCCACGTTCAATCCCTGTGACAGTAGTCAGCAAGACAAATAACAAATAGGATGGATAAAAACCTAACGGGTTCTGCCCCTTCTATACTCCAACACTTAAATACTGTAACGCAGACCTTCATGCCAATCGGAAGGTCTGATTTTTTTTTTTTTTTTTTTTTTTTTTTTTTTTTTACAAGCCCCCAGATGCCCCCCCCCCCCCCCCCCCCCTCCCCCAAAAGCACATACAGCTTTAACACCCCGGTCACACTGAATGCGAATTGGCATGCGATTTGCAAATTACATGCCAAGTCGCATCCTAGTGTCCGCAATTACATAGGGTCATATCGGTGCGGCTCCTACCTGGTCGGAGCCAAACCGATTTCCAAAGTAGTACATGCACTACTTTTGGTGCGATTTGCATAGACATCTGTGTCAGATGTCTTGCAAATCGCACCTGAAATCAGCAGTTATCCTGACTGTAAAGTCATGCGACTTCACTGTAAGTCGCATGATTTCAAAGTCACGTTTGATGTGACCGGGGTGTAAAAGCTATTTGTAAATGCAGATGATGTTGAAAAAAATTTACATTGGCCTGGCCTCTGACAATTCCAGAAGATGTGGGATGTCATCATCTTATCGTTTCAGAATCGGGTGAAATCCCATGGAAATGCGCTTCAGCCCATAGTAAGTGTACATTCTCATGGGCCTTTGAGCGCCCAGTTATCCCTGGAGGCAATGGTGAGGCACAGTGATATCATCCGTGCCTCCGGGATGAGGTTAGGAATTTTTTTTATTTTTTTTGATCACTGGTGATCTTTGTTTACAAGTGTTTTTAAAGCCATATGTATTGGCGGTGGGGACTTGGGGGAAAAAAATTGTCACAGAAGGTCTGCTTTAATGCCTAGTGTTGCCTATATAGCAAACCTGATACTGTGCATAGTAAGCAAGCTTTGTGAGTTTTGACCAAGCAATGCTGGTTTGGTAGTGGAGATGATCTGGCTATCAGCTGTTGGGATTATAAAGAAAGCTTCTCTGCCAGTTCTGCTGTTACACCCATTTTTAGGCTCTCTGGTGCCCAAACATGCCTCCGGTGCTGCTCAACCTCACCCTTAATTATTGCCAACACCTAAATTCTAGTACTTGCTGCTATCGGGAGGACATGGCATGCCCCCTGTCTATCTACAGTGCACTGCTCAGGCTCGTGTGGTTTGTCAGCAGACCCTAGTGCTGTCACATGGGATACAGAAGTGTGCCTTGACTGACGGTACTGGCTGCTCGGAATTGCCATAATTTGGTGGTGGGTCTAGAGGTAAGTATAGACACCCGACATTGTCTAGAACATAGACTGCAACCCGGTGAAGAGACAAATTAGGGAGTCTATCGTTTGTGTGCTGTTATACTGCCTTCGCACGTGAGCTGAAAAGTAAGTTTGCTTTTATTTTTTTTTCCCACAGGTCATCAGGTCTTTAAACCCTTTTTGTGGCAATCCTTGGAAGCACTGTCAAGATGCCCAGGGAAGACAGGGCGACATGGAAATCCAACTACTTTTTGAAAATCATTGTGAGTATATTTAGAACTTGTTTTCTTCTCACTAGGGTAGGCACTACCACTAAAAGTACTGTCAATTAAATAGCAATTGCAAATCTTAAATTATCTTTGACCAGTTCTTTTAAATAAAGGCAACCTTTAAATGTATTGTGTTCTAAATGGTATTGCTCACTCCATTACATGACACTTTCATTTTTTATTTTAACCACTTGCCTACCAGGCACTTATACCCCCTTATTTACCAGGCCAATTTTCAGCTTTCAGCGCTGCCGCACTTTGACAATTGCGCGGTCATGCAACATTGTACCCATATGAAATTTTGATCATTTTTTTCTCACAAATAGAGCTTTCTTTTGGTGGTATTTAATCACCACTGGGCGCTTTACTTTTTGCGCTATAAATAAAAAAAGCCCAAAAAATTTGAAAAAATAAAAAAGTTTCTTTGTTTCTATTATAAAATTTTTCAAACAGGTAATTTTTCTCCTTTACTGATGTGCGTTGATGAGGCAGCACTGATGGGCACTGATAGGCAGCACTAAAGGGCACTGATAGGCAGTACTAATGAGGTGGCACAGATAGGCGGCACTGATAGACAGCACTAATGAGGTGTCACGGATAGGCGGCACTAATATGCAGCACTGATAGGCGGCACTGATAGGTGACACAGATGATGGGTACTGATAGACAGCACTGACTGGCATCACTGCTGGGCACTGACTGGCACAACTCCTGGGCACTGGTGGGTGGCACAGGTGGGTGGCACTGCTGGGCACAGGTGGGTGGCACTGCTGGGCACAGGTGGGTGGCACTGCTGGGCACAGGTGGGTGGCACTGCTGGGCACAGGTGGGTGACACTGCAGAGTGGCACAGGTGGGTGCACTGCTGGGCACAGGTGGGTTATCTGCTGGGCACAGGTGGGCGGAGCTAGTGGGCGCACTGCTGGGCACAGGTGGGCGGAGCTTGCGGGTGACACTGCTGGGCACCGATCATCAGGGCACTGATCATCAGTGCCCTGATGATCGGTGCCGATCCTCGCTGTGACAACTGCCGGTTCTCGGCAGTACTTTCCTCACGATCTGACAGCGTGAGGAAAGTGCAGCCGAGAACCGGCACTTGCATTTTCCTCTGATCAGCGTGTCATTGGACACCGCTGATCACGTGGTAAAAGGCCGCTGTGATTGGCCTTTTACCACATAACGTGATCAGCTGTGTCCGTAGGACACAGCGATCACGGAGATCGCCGGGTGCGCGCCCCCTGGGGCGCGCAGGAGAGCGCGTTCTGGGAGGACGTCATATGACGTCCACCCAGAACTGGCCGGCCGCAGTGCAGCCGTCATTCGGCTATCTGCGGTCGGCAGGTAGTTAAGCTTGCATGTGAAAATATTGGGTTTGGTTGTGATGTGCAGTACTATGAGCTGGCAACCAAAGCAGGCAGCATCTTCTTGCACATAATGTATTCCAGGTATATTCACTGCATCTTTTCTGATTTTTATAGCCCTGCAGAAGTTTTCAGCCAGTCCTACATGATGGAACACAACCAAATATTCTGCACTTTCAAATGTGTAATTTAGCTTCTACTTTGAATGTAAATTTGACTTTAGGGCGTTTTGTTGGCCTGTTTACTAGAAAAGCTAAGAATTGAGAAGTTCCTTGCCTGTGTAATAGCAGCAATTTTTTATTTTTTTCAGCAACTGCTGGATGATTACCCAAAATGTTTTATCGTGGGGGCGGACAATGTTGGTTCAAAGCAAATGCAACAGATCCGTATGTCCCTGCGAGGAAAAGCTGTTGTGCTTATGGGAAAGAACACCATGATGCGCAAGGCAATCCGTGGTCACTTAGAAAACAACTCTGCACTGGAGAAGTGAGTATATGGTGCCTATATGTCCTGTTTAAGGCTAGAGCCATTCCAGTTTCCAATTTCCCTCTTGTTTTTCAGGCTTTTGCCTCACATAAAGGGGAATGTCGGCTTTGTTTTCACTAAGGAGGATCTCACTGAAGTACGAGATATGCTGTTGGCGAACAAGGTGGGTAATGTACTCCTGCATAAAAGTGGCCACCCGCCCAAGTCTATAACTGGCTTATGAAGCAAGGACACATAAACAGGCATCACATAGTGAAAAAAAGGGGGAGAGAACAATGTTCTTGGACAACTTGCCAGCCAGCTTGCTAACAACCGAATTAACCTGTCTAACAGTATGCGTTTATAACAGGGGTTTAGTTAGCACACATTTGCAAATACATACGTAAGCCACAGAGCCACGACACGGCACCCTGATCATCTGTGGTCCTAACGCTAAAATTTATGAGTCCCCATAGTAGAGGCACATGCATTTAATGGATAGATCAAGGGCAGGGTAATGTACTCCTGCCTTTTCCTTAGTAGCTGCTTAAACAAGGCACATACCACTGTCTTATATGAGAAAGGATATTCTTGCTTTTTTTACAGAATAGTACTTACCTTTTTCTTTAGAGAATCTGAAGCACTTGTTTGATATTCTCTTCTAGGTGCCAGCTTCTGCTCGTGCAGGTGCCATTGCCCCCTGTGATGTCACAGTGCCTGCTCAGAATACTGGTTTGGGCCCTGAAAAGACATCCTTCTTCCAGGCTTTGGGAATCACCACAAAAATCTCTAGAGGAACTATTGAAATCTTGGTAAGTGAGCAAATAGTTTTTATACAGGGCATACTTACTGCTTGTGTACAACATCTAATTTTTTTCACCTTTAGGAATGTGGAAAATAGCTTTAACCACTTGTCCTCCAGAATATATACCCCCTTCCTTAACCATTTGCCGCCCGCCCTATGGCCGAATGGCGGGCTGCAAATGTCATCAGCGTTCTGGGTGGACGCCATATCGCGTCCTCCCGCACATGCGCTGATTGCGCTCCTGCGCAGCGGCGCGATCTGTCTCCGGCCGTGTACCTCGGACACGGCCAATGACCGATCTGAGTATCGGCCTCATTGCTACCAATCACAGCAGGTCATATGACAGTTGTATACAGTGGATGGCTTCATTCATGCCATCCATTGTATACTACTGCCTAGCTGTGAATGGTCACAGCTAATCAGATGCACATGTCATGTGATTAGCTGTGGCCAAATCACAGCTAAGCACAAAAAAAAAAACCCTGAATGAATCGATGTCGTTCAGGTAAATGCTTGCTTATAGCAAAGTAATTCTTTGCTATAAGCAAATTGTGTAAAAAAACAAAACAAAATACTGATCACTTCCCCAAAGTAGTACAATGTTACTATGGTAACATTGTACTACTTTGGTCATAGTGAAATATGAAAAAAAATCTTAAAGAAAAAACAATTTAATAAAAAAGAATAAAAAAAATATATAATTTTTTTTTTTATTTTTTTTTTTTCATGCTGTCACCAGTCAGTGTCCTTGATCACTGCCATGCCAGTTATATGATGACGCTGTACTGCACTGGTGACAGTATGTAAAAAAAAAAATAGTGAAACTAATTTTGTTAATTTTTTCATTTTCCGAAAAATTATGACAAAAAAAATGCAACTTCAAAAAACTCGCCATGCCTCTTATGAAGTACGTCGGACTGTCTACTCTGCAAAAAGGGGTCATTTGGGCGATATCTGTACTGTTCTGATATTCTTGGACCTCAAGAAATTAGATTGGCTGTCAGTACTTCAGGATTGATCAATATTCAGATCTATACCATAGTTTGTGAGCTCTATAACCTATCTACAAACTAAATAATACATCCTAATTTGGGTTATTTTCACCAAAGACATGTAGCAGAATACATCTCGGCCTAAATTTATGAAGAACAATTATTTATTAGCAAACTTTTATAACAGAAACAAAGAAACTTTTTTTTTTTTTTTTTTTAATTTTTGGTCTTTTTTTGTTAATTTAGCAAAAGATAAAAATACCGGCGGTGATTAAATACCACCAAAAGAAAGCTCTAGTTGTGTGAAGAAAATTATAAAATTTTAGTTTGGGTACAATGTTGTATGACCGCGCAATTGTCATTCAAAGTGTGAGAGCGCTGAAACCTGAAAAATGTCCTGGGGCAGGAAGGGGGTAAAATTGCCCGGTATTGAATTGGTTAAGGACCTGGCCATTTTTTTGCTATTTGGCACTGTGCTTTTTCAATTGGCAATTGCGCGGTCATGTAGTGCTGTACCCAAATTAATTAGATGTACTTTTTTTTCATACAAATAGAGCTTTCTTTTAGTGTTTTTTTATTTATTTTTTTGTGATATAAATGTAAAAACACTGAAAATTTTGAGATCTTTTTTTCTTTCGGTTATAAAAAAAAATAGTGAACTTGGTCATAAATGTAAACCAAGATGTATACTGCTATGTGTCTTTGATTAAAAAAAAAACCCCAATGTATGTTGGTTTGTGGGAGGTGGGGTGCTGTGAACAGGGTTTTTTTTTTTATTCTTTTTACACTTTCCAATGCAAGAGCAATGAAGATCATTGATCACATGGTACAGGGTGCTGTGATTGGCCCCATGTGTCATGTGAGAGTTGTGGACCAATCACCGCTCTCCAGTAACCAGCAAAGATTTTATGAATCATAAAGGCTTTGTTGTAATTGTGATCATGTGATCACTGGGTACTTATTACAGGGATTCTCAGTCTGCTTTGCCTGGACACAGCAGACTTGGGGGGGGGGGGGGGGGGGGGGGGGTGTAATGTGGCGCACAGCGCCCACCTCTGTCCGTAAAAGACCAGTACATTGTGGGCGGCCGAAAGTGGTTGGAGACTATTTCTGAAAAATTGTGCACACATGTAAGCCGTACTTAATCCTTAAGGCCCATAGATATGGGACAGCCTTACTGACCAACAGGAATGAGCAGGAGGGAGTGGGCAAGATTTGGGGCACCATGAGGAAGTGTGGGATCCTTGTCTGTCAGAATGGTCTTGGGGTACTTAGGTGCTGTAATGTTTTTTTGTTTTTTTCTTCTCTAGAGGTGATGTCTCTAAAAAATGGCAGCAACAGATAGTAAGCATCACCTGGCTTTCTAGTGGATACATTTTAGGGTCATATGGTGAATGTTTGCCAGCAGGGAAGCGGGGAAGTTCAGCTACCAAGTGTACCCTGGTGAAGTCATTAGTGTTTGAAAAAAAATCATTCTACCTCTCTGTATTCAAAACATAAAATGCCTGGTATGTTTATACTTTCTTTTCAGAGTGATGTACAGCTGATTAAGACTGGAGATAAAGTAGGTGCCAGTGAGGCCACCCTCCTGAACATGCTCAACATTTCCCCCTTCTCCTTTGGTTTGATCATCCAACAAGTTTATGACAACGGCAGCATCTACAGCCCAGAGGTTCTAGATATCACTGAAGATGCTCTGCGTACTCGCTTTTTAGAGGTATGATACTGTTTAATATATTTGTATATGGGTTTGTGTGCACTTCACCAACTGTGAACACAAGACTAATGTCCATTATGATTCTGTTTCTCTCTAGGGTGTTCGCAACATCGCCAGTGTCTGTCTTCAAATTGGCTATCCTACCGTCGCCTCTGTACCTCACTCTGTTGTCAATGGGTATAAACGGGTTCTTGCTCTTGCTGTGGAAACAGATTACAGCTTCCCATTGGCAGATAAGGTAAATTGGTGAACTGGAGGGTTTACAAGGCTGTCTATCTAACTGGTGTCTGCCTCCTTAAAAAAAAAAAAAAAAAAAAACTCCTCAGGGGGAACACTGCAGAGTCTGCTTACACTTCCCCATCACTGGGCTCAACTTGCTTTTCTGAGGCCAGGACTGTTGTATGGGGAATCAGGATGAAAAACGCTGATACGATCAGAGCCGTCTGCAGCCAGCCACAGGGTAAGCAACAGATCAAGGACTCTGTCCTAGATCTGCACTGGCTTGGAGGAGAGAAGAAACATCAAGTTTTTTGTGTTTTTTGTGTTCAGTTATAAAGGGGGCGGTCAGCCAACCTTGTAGTAATAGAACGTTTCTTGCGTTCATTGATGGACACAATGTTTTCCTCTTTAACAATAGCTAAGCAGGGTTTTCTAGCCCCATCTACAGGAGTAGGACGCTGGGTAAAAAAAAAAAAAAAAAAACTTGGCACCCACTATGGGCAGTCCTGTCTTCTGGGTATAAAACCTCCTCTCTGCTATAGGTCTCCAGTCTTTTCTGCCTAGTGTCTCAGGAGTATGGAATGTGAAGTTTTGGTAGGACTTCTGGTCCCATAACTTTTACTTTAATTTTCCCCTACCGTCTTTCAGGCCAGCACTCTGAGAGACCTCGGCTCCTCCCCATCTGAGGAAACACCTCCACCTACAATAAAAAAGCTCCACTCCCCTCTGACCTCAGTTCAGGTGTTTCCTCCGGTGGGGAGACACGAGGAGGCGCAGGAGGACGATAGGGGAGCCGAGGGCCGGATAGCCGGCTGTGAGGCCCGACGCAGCCGGGAGTGAAGGCCGGAGTGTCCGGCTGCATATCCTCCCAGGGCAGGCTGCCAGCAGTGAGAGTGCATCCCGGGGGACGGGACAGGGCACTTACCTGCTCTTCGCCCCCCGGCCCCCTCCGGCGAGGGGGGGTGTCGGGGTGGCCGTGGTGAGGTCTGGGGAGGATCGGGGGGAGTTCCGCTCCTTCCCATGCTGGCGGTCTGAGGGCTTTGCCGGGCCGGACGTCGGGAGACGGCGGTTTCCGGCGGAAGGGGCGGGGCTTCGCCCAGGGCCGCGACTTCCGCTTCCGGTCGCGGCCTTCACACCACGGCGGCGCGAAATTTGAATGTGGCGGTGCGGTGCACAGCGGTCTGGGGGACAGACCTGCACCAGGCGACCACCCTCCGGTACGGGATGTCGGAGGCACCGGGACCAGGAGATGCCAGCACCAGCCAGTCGCAGGTAAGGTGCCTCAGTGAGGCCTCCCCTACCTGTGGGCCCCTAGCAGAAGGTAGGGCAAGGGGTCTGTGGTTTTTCAGGCCCTTGTTGCTCTGCCGGGAAGCAGGGGGGGGGGGTGTTTAGTGTCGGACTGATTGGGCTTCCCCCCCCCCCCCCCCTTTTTCTTTTGTGTCTTGCAGGGCAAGGCCCGAGCTAAACTTAGGCACCAGGAGCCCAAGCGGAGATGCCCTTCCTGTAAGGAAGTTCTAAAAGAATCTTGGCGAAAGGTTCTTTGTGGCCCATGTATACAGGGGTTGGTGAGGGAGGAGAAGCCGGAACAGGGGGACCGAGCTAGGTCAGTGAAGGAGTTGGCTACCACCTTCGACTCCTTCAAGTCCCTCATGGAGAGGTTTGCCCTCCCATTACCTACACTTCCCCCCCCCCCCCCCAGGTGGCTTCGGTGAGTCGTCGGGAACCCCTTATGACTGGGGAGGAACCAGTGGGGGACTCCCAGTCTGAGGAGGAATCAGCGGGTGAGGGTCCCTCAGAGGAAGGGAGGGGCCCCCTCCCGGTATAAGTTGACCCTAGAGGAGGTTGATGAGCTCCTGGGGGCTATATACGAAACCCTGGACATTAAGGAGGAGGTTAAGGCCTTATCTCTCCACGACCAAATGTATCAGGGATTGGAGGAGCACCAGCACAGAATGTTTCCTGTGCATGACATTTTGGTAGACACGATTAAGAAGGAGTGGCAAGACCCGGAAAGGAAACCGTTCTTCTCAAAAGCGTTGAGGAGGAGGTTTCCGTTTTCGGAAGACCCGGAGGCGGTCTGGAACAAGAGCCCCAGGCTAGACGCGGCCTTTTCCCAAACAACCAGGAGAACTGACCTAGCGTTTGAGGACATGGGGGTCTTACCGGACTTATTGGACAGAAGGGCAGAGTCTCTCCTTAGGAAGGCCTGGGACTCGACCCTGTACAACCTGAAACCGGCCATGGCTACGACAGTGGTAGCCAGGAACTTAGAGTATTGGCTTACGCAATTACAGGCCCATATTGTGGCAGACTCTCCCAAGGAAAAAATCTTGGCCTCTTTTGAGACCCTTTTGCAAGGAGTGGGGTATATTGCGGATGCTTCCGCAGAGTCGGTGAGATTGGGGGCCAGGTCTGCTGCCCTGACCAATTCAGCCAGAAGGGCGCTGTGGCTAAAGACATGGCAGGGGGACATCACTTCAAAAGTTAGGTTATGCGGCATCCCCCTCACAGGAGACTGTCTGTTCGGCCCGGGTTGGAGGAATTATTGGACCGGACAGCTGATAGGAAAAAGTCCTTCCCCCTCAAGAGGAAAATGCAGAGAGGGGGGGACACGGAAGGCCCGCCCGGCAAAGAGGCTGAGCCTGCGACCGCCTGGTCAGGGTAGGTCGGCTGGACAGAGAGGTAGGGGAAGAGGGGGGGCGATTTTTCGCCCTCCTGAGCAGCCCCAAAAAACCAAGGTGACTTGGTTCCTCCTGGGGGGGAAGATTGGCGGCATTCCTCCCACAGTGGGAAGCCGTGGTCACCAGCCCCTTCATTTTGGATGTCATCCGAAGGGGTTACCGGTTAGAATTTCTGAGACCGCCACCCGAGACTTTTCTAGTGACGACCCGTCCAAGGGATCCGACGAAGGACGCGGCTCTGGTGGGCGCTTTGGAGATTCTGGAGTCCCAGGGGGTCATCTCCAGGGTTCCGGTAGCGGAGCGAGGGAAGGGAGTTTATTCCCATGTGTTTGTGGTTCAAAAGCCGTCTGGGGCGTTCAGACTGATTTTGAACCTGAAACCCTTGAACAAGTCAGTACGTTACCGGAGGTTCCGCATGGATTCCATTTTTACAATCAGGTCCCTAATCCCACCAGGTGCATTCATGGCATCCATAGACTTGAAGGACGCCTACCTACACGTGCCCGTGGCGGAAGCCTCTCAGAGGTTCCTCAGGTTGGCAGTGGGGGGGGAGGAAGGAATTCGACACTGGCAGTTCAGGGCTCTTCCATTCGGCCTTTCCTCCTCGCCAAGAGTATTCACCAAGGTTCTGTCGGAGGCACTGATTTCTATCCGCTTGAGGGGGATTTCAGTGGTGGCCTATCTGGACGATTTGCTGCTCTTCGCAGATTCAGAGAGGCTCACTTACGGCAAGACCTGGTTATAGTGAGGAACCATCTGGAAAGCTTGGGGTGGGTTTTGAATCTGGAGAAGTCCTGCCTGGTGCCTTCTCAGAAGGTGATTTACTTGGGCTACACTCTAGACTCGGTAGACCAAAAGACCAGCCTGACTTTGGAAAAGGTCACCAAGTTGGAGGCCGGAGTCAGATTACTGCAGGGGAGCAGGTCGATGTCCATAAGACAGGCCATGTCGGTACTTGGATTGCTGACAGCGTCCATTCCGGCAGTTCAGTGGGCAGGTCTGCATATGCGTCCCCTCCAGTTGTGGATCCTGAGGGTTTGGGACAGGAAGTGTCACTCCCTAGAACGCAGGGTCTTGGTGCCCCCCAGTGTGAAAAGGTCTCTATGGTGGTGGAGGAGATCGTCCAGCATAACTCAGGGGCTGTTGTGGTGCTTTCCGATTTCCGCGGAGGTCACTACGGATGCCAGCACCAGGGTGGCTGGGGAGCCCACCTGGGAAATTTGGTGACTCAGGGGGAATGGTCCTTAGGGCAGAAGGACAAATCCTCGAATTGGAAGGAATTGAGGGCAGTGTGGGAGGCTCTGCACTCCTTCCAGGCGGAGGTCAGGGGCCGGCACGTGCGTGTCCTGACGGACAATGCCACGGCAGTGGCTTATATAAACAGGCAGGGAGGGACGCGGAGCAAGGCCCTCGGGGCCTTAGCGGCGACACTGTTGTCCTGGGCAGAACTGAATTTGGCGTCCCTGTCTGCGATACACTTAAAGGGGGAGCTGAACCAGAAGGCAGACTTCCTGAGCAGGACTCGGCTCAGGGAGTCGGAATGGGCCTTGAACCCCGATGTCTTTCAGGAGATTGTGCGAAGGTGGGGATCCCCGGAGGTGGACCTTTTTGCCTCCGGAAGGAACAACAAGGTCCCAAATTTCTTCTCTCTATCCCGCTGGGACGGGTCCAGAGCGGTGGACGCATTAGGTCAGAGGTGGGACTACTACCGGCTTTGTTACGCCTTTCCCCCGGTTCCTTTGCTCCCCCTGGTCCTGAGGAAATTCAGGACAGAGGGGACCTCGTTAATACTGATAGCTCCCTTCTGGCCGCGGCGGGCGTGGTTTGCGACCCTGAAGAGACACTGTTTTTTGGCCTCTCGTCCACCCTGGGAGCTGCCTCCAAGAGTGGATTTGTTAACACAGGGGCCGGTTCTTTGCCCCAGCATAGGAAGATTGCGGTTAACGGCCTGGTTTCTGAGCAGCAGCTCCTCTTAGAAAAGGGGTTCTCGCCTAGGGTGGTGGCGACATTACTGGCCAGTAGGAAGGAGGAGACCCAGGCCATTTATGGTAGGGTCTGGGGTTGCTTTACAGCCTGGTGTGACCGGACAGCTGTGGCAACCCATAGTTTGGTTTCTGTGTTGGAATTCCTGCAGGCGGGAGCGGACAAGGGATTGTCTGTCAGCACGCTCAAGGGCCAGGTCTCGGCCCTCAGTGTGTTCTTGGAGACGCCCCTGGCCAGGGAGGCGTTGGTGAGTAGGTTTTTCAAAGCTCTGGTGAGGCAGAGGCCTCCGAGGTCCAGACCATTTCCAGTGTGGGATTTGGCCAAGGTGCTCGGGGGATGACTAGGGCTCCATTCGAGCCCTTGGAGTCCTGTCCGATAGGTGAGCTCACCATTAAGACTGCTTTTCTGGTGGCGATTACCACGGCGAGGAGGGTGTGTGAGATGGAGGCCCTCTCGATCAGAACACCCTATCTCCGTATTTTTTCAGACAGGATCGTTTTCAGACCAGACCCGTCCTTCATTCCGAAGGTAGCTCGGAGTTTCCAGAGGGAACAGGACATTGTCCTTCCCTCATTTTTTTCCTGACCCGGTGGGGGTAGATCAGGAGAGGTATCACTGTTTAGATGTCAGAAGGTGCGTTCTCCAGTATCTAGAGAAATCTAGGGAGTTCAGAAGCACCGAATCCCTTTTTGTTTTTTTTAAGGGGGCTAGAAGAGGCAAGAAGGCGTCTAGAAGGACGCTGGCCAGCTGGCTGCGGCTGGCGATTACAGGAGCATATCAGGCAGAAGGCCTGGAGGTCCCGGAGGGTATCAAGGCACATTCCACCCGAGCTGTGGCGGCTACCCAGGCAGAGTTAGCAGGGGTTTCCCCAGGGCAGATTTGCAGAGCGGCAACATGGTCCAGCTATGACACATTTGCCAAGCATTACAGACTGGACCTGGTCTCGGTGCAGGAGCAGGACTTTGGTCGTAAGGTCTTACAAGCAGTTAGCCCCCGAAGGGTGAGTACTCGCTTATCCTCTCAGAGTGCTGGCCTGAAAGACGGTAGGGGAAAAACCAAGTTACACTTACGGTAACGTCTTTTCCAGGAGTCTTTCAGGCCAGCACCGGTTTCCCACCCACTGTTGATATTGGTTATGTGAAGATGGCTTATTATGATTATGTTTGTCTCGCATTGTGTCTCCCCAGATGACCGGAGGATGCTTGGAGAACTGAGGTCAGAGGGAGTGGAGCTTTTTTTTTATTGTAGGTGGAGGTGTTTCCTCAGATGGGGAGGAGCCGAGGTCTCTCAGAGTGCTGGCCTGAAAGACTCCTGGAAAAGACGTTACCGTAAGTGTAACTTGGTTTTTTTTTTTTGGCCAATCAGTGATCACATGAATAGGTGTAAGCAAGATGTCACTTCTGACCTCATTGCTTACTAGGTGTGAAATCTGTGAATGATCAGAGGTCACATGGTACAAGGCTATTCACAAGAGCCTTGTACCATGTGACAAGCTGTGACCAATCACAGCTCACACAGTATTTCTCAATGGCTGCAAGAATGCAGTGAGAGAGGAGGAATGATTGCTTTTACAGCTTTTATGGGTGTAAAAGCGATCAGTGTAAAAAAAAAAAAATAATAATAATCTCCCCCCACAAGTAGTACAGTGTCACCATGGTGACACTGTACTGCTAGGGTGACAGTATGTTAAAACATAATATAAAATTTAAAAATTATAATTTTTGGTTATAAACTAATTTGGGTTAGTTTTTTTATTTTTTTTTTCCTACTAAAAAGATGACTGAGTACATTTTGGCCAAGATTTATAAAGAAAGATTTATAAGAAACCCTTTTTAAAAAATATTTTTGGACTTTTTAATTTATATATAAAAAAAAGTTAATATCCCAGTGGTGAATAAATACCACCAAAATCAAGTTTGTCTAAAAAAAAATGCTAAATTCATATGGGTGCAGTGTTGCATGACTGCGCAATTGTCATGCAAAGTGTGAGAGCACTGAAAGCTGAAAATTGGCCTGGACAGGAATGGGGTGAAAGTGTCCGGACATGAAGTGGTTAAAGATGAAGACTCTGCCCATCAATTAATGCAGGACAAAACGATTTTTTATTGTACTCTCCGTAAAATGGGGTTTATACCCATAGAGGACTGACCATAGGCGGCGGTGCCAAGTCTGTGTGTTTTTTTTTTTTTTTTTTTTTTTGTCTTTGTTTTTTTTTTTTTTTTTCTGTCTAGTGTCTTACTCCTGTAGGAAGGGCTGTAAAACTCTGCTTAGTTATTGTTAGAGGAAGACTGTCAAACTCAGAAAAAGGGATTTTACAGTGAGTACAGAAAATCCCAGAATTTTTCTAATAAAGCTACACGTTCTCACATTTTTTCGTAATTTTTTTGTTTTTTGGGGTTTTTTGCTTTAATGCATTAAGGTAAAAAAAAAAATAAACCCTTTCCCTAGCTATTCTTCCTCTATCAAACCAGTGCTGTGCCCAGCTGCAGGTCTTTTCCCCACATTTTCTATCTTACAAGAATCTCTGAAAAGCAGCCTACTGTCAGTCAAGTCCTGAGAAGAGTGGTGGATGTACCCAGCCTGGCTTGGGAGTGCACTCATGATTTCCCCCCTATAGCACACAGCTTGCTATGGGGGCACTTGGAAAAGAGGAGTAGCAGACAAGGTACACTAGCTTTGTTAGCCCCTATAGTGTTTGACAGGCATTTGGGAAGCGTTTTTAACACTCCCCAAACGCCCTATGCTCGTTTGTGAGGCGTTTGCCAAGCCTTAGAACCGCACCACAAACTCCTATAATGAAGTTTAATGGTATTTAATGCCAGGCGTTTGAGGAGCGTCACCATAGACTTGAATGGGAGGCTTCAATGCTTCCTGACTCCACATGAGGTATCAATTTTGCTGCGACGCGAATGCTTCAGTGTGTACAGCACTGTGTGCTGCTATGTGTAGAATTTTCATAGGCATTTGAGGAGCGTTAAACGCTGCCCAAATGCCTAATACCTGCTAACAAAGCTAGTGTGAACTTAGCCTTAAGGGACCACTTTGTTCACTGTCCATGCAAAGATCAGGTAAATATAACACGTTTATAATTAAAGTAAATGAGCTGTATAGTTAATGTATTACTTCAAATTAGGTTTGAGCCTAGATGTAGCTGACACTCTGATTAAGCACTTGCCTTCCTGAGGATTTACCCCCATCCCACCCCCCCCCCCTTTCGCCCGGTCCTGAGCAGGTAATTTTTTGCATTACGGTGTTGCGTTACTTTAACTGACAATTGTGCGGTTATGCAACGCTGCATCCAAATGAAACTGGTGTCCTTTTTCTTCCCACAAATTGAGCTTTCTTTTTGTGGTATTTGATCGCCTGTACTGTTTTTTTTTGGGTTTTTTTTTTGTTTTGTTTTTTTGCACTATTAAAAAAAAAAAAAGACTGACCGTTTTGAGAAAACAACAGTATTATGGGGGGAATTGACTCAGTGTCACTGACATCCCCAGTGACACCAATACAGTAATCAGTGCTAAAAAAAAAAAAAGCACTGACACTGTACTAATGGTACTGGGCAGGAAGGGGTTAACCTGAGGGGGGCTGATCAAAGGGTTACCTGTGTGCAGGGAGTGTTTTACTAGGGGGCGGTGTCTGTGTTCTTCAATGTAAGCACACTGCTTTGGATGGCTGTGCACAGCCATCCAAACCAGTGTGCCAGAGCTGACAAGGAAGAGAACTGGTTAGTAAACAGTCGTCCTCCCTGCCAAAGATCCTTGGTAATCACTAGCTGCGACCCAGTGATTGATGCCCGCAAATGGTGGAGCGGGTAGGGCTCGCATGCGCCCACTACCCGGAAATGCAAAATCGTGTATATTGGTATTTTTGTTGTACTGGTGGCTGTTTATTATGTGTGTTCACTGTAGGAAATTGTCTTTGCAGGTCAAGGCTTTCTTGGCAGACCCATCAGCTTTTGTGGTTGCTGCTCCTGCTGCTGAGACAGCTGCTGCTCCGGCTGCTTCAACTACACCAGCCCAAGAGGAAAAGAAAGATGAATCTGAAGAATCTGATGATGATATGGGCTTTGGGCTCTTTGACTAAATCTTTTTTAGTCTGAAGTCTCAATAAATGCTTACATCTTTAAACTCTTAAGTGTTTGAATTATTTTCTCTTCCAAAAAAAAATCCAAGATTTTGGGAGTGTAGTTCTATCCATTACATTGCCCTGAGTTTGCTGTGGATTTGAATAAAGCTGAATTTATCATCAGTGTTGGCACAAATGTCTGTATGGCACCGTAAGATAGAAAACATTTTGTATTTAATATGTTGTTGGTATAAACACAACCTGGACACACTCTATAAAGTGATCAACACTGTGGTTCCAGGAAGCTTGGACTAAAATGGATGGTGCTGTTTCACAAGTACAAAGCAAAATGTCATCGGAGTACCAAGAAATTGCTCCAAATGAGCTTTATTCATTCACAAGCCAAATACAATTTCATAGCTGCGCAAACATTTATTATATTGGAGCATAACAATTTTTAGTTTTGATGGCTGCATTTAATTTTTTTTTTTCCTTGAGTCTGGTTTTTGTTTTTTTGTTTTTTTCAAGAGTTTTCTTCTAGATGTATCAGTTAATTGATAAAACAAACCATCATAGTGTTGTTGCTAAAATTTGTGAGTTTCCTCCTCTGTAAACGCACGGGGACCGGATATACCCATACAGAAGCCACGAGCCGGCCGTCTCCCACTGGAGCTCCCCGGGCGGCTCTTAACATTCCGCCTCCTATACAGCCTCCCTGGCACCTGTCTCTCATTTATATCTATGGCACACATGTGTTCACAATTTTACACATGAATCCATTTCCTCCCTCCTTCACTTCAGTCTATTTAACAGGGGTCTCAGGCAGTGTACACACACACACACACACACACACACACAGACAGACAGACACACACAGACAGACACAGACAGACACACACACACACTCTCTCTCTCTCTCTGAAGAAGAGGTGTTTTCCTCAAAACGCATCAGCCACCAGCTATCTGGAGGCTTCCAGTCCCCCCACCAGACCACCCACAGGGGTTCTTCTACCACCCTGCATCCCTAGTGACATGATTTCCATGCATATCTAATTTTACGTCATTTTATTTTGTGAGTATTTTACTTTTCATCAATAAATCCTATTTTTAAGGTAATGCACTAGGCCTGTGTGCCCTCTTTTTTGTCTTTCACCAAAGCTCTGTATGTTACATAGTCTGGCTGAAAAAAGACAAAAGTCCATTCAGTTCAACCATAATAAAAAATTATAATCCTATACCCACAGTTGATCCAGAGGAAGGCAAAAACCAGCAAAGCATGATCCAATTTGCTCCTGCAGGGGAAAAATTCCTTCCTAATCTCCTGAGAGGCAATCGGATATTCCCTGGATAGGATTTTGCTCACTTTAGAAACCACAACTTGGCATTGCATGCCATTATAAAGCTTATGATCTACCAGAACTCCCAGATCCTTCTCCACCATTGATTCCCCCAGTTGTACCCCCCCTAGCATGCATATTCTTAGCCCCAAGTGCATAACCTTACATTTATCAACATTAAACCTCATTTACCACATAGTTGCCCAATTAAACAGTGCATTGAGGTCGGCTTGTAAATTGGAGACATCCTGTAAGGACGCTATTCCACTGCACAGCTTGGTGTCATCTACAAAGACTGAAATGGTACTTTTAATCACAGACCCTATATTTTTTATAAATATATTAAAAAGTAAGGGTCCCAACACTGAACCTTGGGGTACACCACTGACAACCCTAGACCATTCAGAGTATGAATCATTAAACACTACTCTGAATATGATCTTTATAGCCAGTTTTCTATCCATTTACATACAGATTTTTCCAAGCCTGTAGACTTTACCTTACACATTAGCCGTGTGTGGGGAACTGTGTAAAAAATCCAAGTATACCACGTCCACCACCACCCCTCTGTCGAAGGTTTTGCTCACCCCCTCATAAAAATAAATCAGTTTTGTTTGACAACTTCTGTCTTTCATGAATTCATGCTGTCTGTTGCTTAAAATATTTTTTTTTTCAACAATAACTCATCTATGTGTTCTTTTATTAAGCTCTCCAGTATCTTCCCAACTATATAAGTTAAACGAAGAGATCTATAATTACTTGGCAAAGATTTTGACCCCTTTTTAAATACTGGCACCACATTGGCCTTACGCCAATCCAGGGGTACTATGCCAGTCATTAAAGAGTCCCTAAAAAATTATGAAATGACAGAGCTCAATTCTTTAAGGAACCGTGGGTGTATGCCATCCAGTCAGGTGCTCTATTCACCTTTATTCTGTCTAAATATATCTGGATCATATCAATTGTGAGCCAATGTGGGTCATCTGGAGCTGTGTCATTACCATGCCCATAATAGACAAGCGCTCCGCCATGCTCCGTTTGTATGCACAGAGCTGAAGAAGATATTTAATACATTTTCCTTCTCTTTGTCCCCAGTCACCCACTCTAGATTATTTTATAACTGTCCTACATGCTCAGACCAGACCTTTTTACTATTAATATATTTGAAGAATTTTTGGGGGTTGGTCCAGCTATCTTTTGCAAGCTGTCGTTTGCTTTCAATTTATGCAGACTTCATTTCCTTTTGGCATGTTCTGTTATATTCTTTGTAATGTTTAAACGATGATAACATTCCTTCATTTATTCCTTCATGTGATTGGAAACAGCTGATCAGCTGACTTCAGCTTTAATCATTGGCTGAAATCTGCTGCCAAACTTATGATGTCCAATAACAGGACTGGTCGGCAGTGAATGTGGGCCTTGAACCCAGAAGAAAGATTGCTATGCACAGGTAGGTCACCCAGCCTGGAGTTGCTGCCCACTCACAGTACCACTACTATGGGCAGGCAGCAAACAGATGAGAAATTGTGGTTAGCAGCGTAGAGGTGCGGTGTTTGCTGATACCCTATGAATAAAAAAAGTGAACCGTGAAATCAGAACACATGGAAAAAATGCACAAGGGTACAGTTGTAGAACAAACCTCCAAATAAGAGGGGCCTCAATCTCTGAACTCCACGGGGGCTCAAGGCTCCTGACATGGGAAAGGTACTTTGGTCCACCTAGGCCAAAGCCAGGTGCATCCTACTCCTTGAGGACCTGCCGAAGCTGGGCTTCTTGTTACTTGGTGAGGGCTTTCCTGAAGAGGGACCTTCGTTTGGAAGAGGAAAAAACACCCAAAAGCCAAAGATCCTGTCCCTGGCAAACCTGCACTCTCTGTCTCTGTAATTTAAAAACAAAAAATACACAAACGCATTGCAAGTGTTCATAAAATATATGAATGAAGATCCTGGTGAATGGGACCTGGTGATTTTGTGATCGCTATGCTAGCAAAGCTGCTATGAATCAATCTGATTCATAATAGCTCTGCTTCTCTTCCTAGTGAGCTGTGATTGGCCCACAGCTGTCACATGATAAATGAGGCCAATCACAGCACCCTGTACCATGTGACCAGCTCCAGCCAATCACAGATCACTATCTTGGTAAGCCTCCATTTAATTATTTGGTGGTGGTACACATCTTTGTGGCTAATTGAAGGAAGATTGCTCACACTGCACCTACAGCATCGATTTACAGCATTTTCACTGATTGTGGAGTCTTTATCCTCATATGGACTTTATTATACAGGTGAAACTCGAAAAATTAGAATATCATGCAAAAGTTCATTTATTTCAGTAATGCAACTTAAAAGGTGAAACTAATATATGAGATAGACTCGTTACATGCAAAGCAAGATAGTTAAAGCTGTGATTTATCATAACTGTGATGATTATGGTTACAGCTCATGAAAACCCCAAATCCACAATCTCAGAAAATTAGAATATTGTGAAAAGGTGCAATATTCTCGGCTCAAAGTTTCCCACTCTAATCAGCTAATTAAGTCAAAACACCTGCAAAGGGTTCCTGAGCCTTTAAATGGTCTGTCAGTCTGGTTCAGTAGGAATCACAATCATGGGAAAGACTGCTGACCTGACAGTTGTGCAGAAAACCATCATTGACACCCTCCATAAGGAGGGAAAGCCTCAAAAGGTAATTGCAAAAGAAGTTGGATGTTCCCAAAGTGCTGTATCAAAGCACATTAATAGAAAGTTATGTGGAAGAAAAAAGTGTGAAAGAAAAAGGTGCACAAGCAGCAGGGATGACCACAGCCTGGAGAGGATTGTCAGGAAAAGGCCATTCAAAAGTGTTGGGTCTTTCACAAGGAGTGGACTGAGGCTGGAGTCAGTGCATCAAGAGCCACCACACACAGACGGATCCTGGACATGGGCTTCAAATGTTGTATTCCTCTTGTCAAGCTGCTCCTGAACAACAAACAACATCACAAGCGTCTTACCTGGGCTAAAGAAAAACAGACCTGGTCTGTTGCTCAGTGGTCCAAAGTCCTCCTTTCTGATGAGAGCAACTTTTGCATCTCATTTGGAAACCAAGGACCCAGAGTATGGAGGAAGAATGGAGAGGCACACACTGCAAGATGCTTGAAGTCCAGTGTGAAGTTTACACAGCCTGTGTTGATTTGGTGAGCCATGTCATCTGCTGGTGTTGGTCCACTGTGCTTCATTAAGTCTAGAGTCAACGCAGCCGTCTACCAGGAGATTTTGGAGCACTTCATGCTTCTTTCCGCAGACGAGCTTTATGGGGATGCTGACTTCATTTTCCAGCAGGACTTGGCACCTGCCCACACTGCCAAAAGCACCAAAACCTGGTTCAATGACCGTTGGATTACTGTGCTTGATTGGCCAGCAAACTCGCCTGACCTGAACTCCATAGAGAATCTATGGGGCATTGCCAAGAGAAAGATAAGAGACATGACACAGAACAATGCAGAAGAGCGGAAGGCCACTATTGAAGCATCCTAGTCTTCCATAACACCTCAGCAGTGCCACAGTCTGATAGCTTCCATGCAACGCCGCATTGAGGCAGTAATTGCTGCAAAAGGGGCCCAAACCAAGTGCTGAGTACATATGCATGCTTATACTTTTCAGAGGTCTGATATTGTTCTATGTACAATCCTTGTTTTATTGATTG